ACACACTCTCACTCACACACACACACACACACACACACACACACTGCTTCATTAACACAGACGCGCTATATCAACAACACGACTGACTCACAAGTGCAGAAATGTTCATTATGCCAATTAATCAACTGCACATTTGTTGACTAGAATTCAAATTAATGAGTTGTGCTTTATCATCCAGATTTCTGATAACCTTTTAAACGTCATAAACTCTGAACATCAGCTCATTGCTGTAAGTGTTGGTTTCAAACGTATTAAATTGTAATGTTTAGATTATTTTTTTGTCATTTACTTAAAGTAATACACTACAGGTGAATGTCGGGTAAAGATTTTAACTAATATACATCACCATACGCTTCTCAGTTGATTCATCACTGTACAAAAACACAGCAGTGTGCATCACAAGGTGTCGAAAATGTTATGTTTAAATATGCAAATGATGCATTAATATAATTACATATGCACTCATTTGCATACATTTACAGAACAGACATCTGAAGATTACATAAAGTCAGGTTTAAAGTTGCTGTTTGATTTTGTTGACATATTAAGAGTTAAATGTATTTCCAGAAGGGATTTTTATTTAATCACTTCATAAATAAGAAAATTATGGAATCTTGTTTTTGCCACGGGGTAAAAAGAACATGTAAATACAAATAAGAAAATAAAAAGGTAGTTGTGTTTTTTCTATACCCCGGTTTAGACTTTTTTCTCTTAATTCTTCGATATAAACGCAGAATAATGAGATATAAATTAAGAATTGCAAGATATAAATGCGGAATTATGAGATGAAAAGTACACAAAAAAAAAGCTTACCTTTTTATTTGTTTTTTATTTCATGGTGGAAACCGAAAAAAAGAAACATTGAGATGTAAACTCAGAATTCTGAGATTAAAAAAAAAAGTGCAATTATCTTTAAAAAAAAAAGTTATACTGTGGCAGAAACAGGTATTCATATCAACAGACAGAAAACAAACACATTTTCATGTTTTTAGGAGTAAAATGTTTTATAAATCAGTGTGAATGAAATATGAACAAACCTTCAGAATTGAAAGAGTTATAAACCTGCAAAGTTCACTGTGTGTACGAGAAAAAACTCTAAAGATTGAAATCTACAGATGCAAACAGATAAAGTGAAATGACTATTATTTCATGTTTTCCTTCCACTAGACCGAGAGAAGACGTGAACACACACACACACACACACACACACACTCTCACTCACACACACACACACACACACACACACACACTGCTTCATTAACACAGACGCGCTATATCAACAACACGACTGACTCACAAGTGCAGAAATGTTCATTATGCCAATTAATCAACTGCACATTTGTTGACTAGAATTCAAATTAATGAGTTGTGCTTTATCATCCAGATTTCTGATAACCTTTTAAACGTCATAAACTCTGAACATCAGCTCATTGCTGTAAGTGTTGGTTTCAAACGTATTAAATTGTAATGTTTAGATTATTTTTTTGTCATTTACTTAAAGTAATACACTACAGGTGAATGTCGGGTAAAGATTTTAACTAATATACATCACCATACGCTTCTCAGTTGATTCATCACTGTACAAAAACACAGCAGTGTGCATCACAAGGTGTCGAAAATGTTATGTTTAAATATGCAAATGATGCATTAATATAATTACATATGCACTCATTTGCATACATTTACAGAACAGACATCTGAAGATTACATAAAGTCAGGTTTAAAGTTGCTGTTTGATTTTGTTGACATATTAAGAGTTAAATGTATTTCCAGAAGGGATTTTTATTTAATCACTTCATAAATAAGAAAATTATGGAATCTTGTTTTTGCCACGGGGTAAAAAGAACATGTAAATACAAATAAGAAAATAAAAAGGTAGTTGTGTTTTTTCTATACCCCGGTTTAGACTTTTTTCTCTTAATTCTTCGATATAAACGCAGAATAATGAGATATAAATTAAGAATTGCAAGATATAAATGCGGAATTGTGAGATGAAAAGTACACAAAAAAAAAGCTTACCTTTTTATTTGTTTTTTATTTCATGGTGGAAACCGAAAAAAGAAACATTGAGATGTAAACTCAGAATTCTGAGATTAAAAAAAAAAGTGCAATTATCTTTAAAAAAAAAAGTTATACTGTGGCAGAAACAGGTATTCATATCAACAGACAGAAAACAAACACATTTTCATGTTTTTAGGAGTAAAATGTTTTATAAATCAGTGTGAATGAAATATGAACAAACCTTCAGAATTGAAAGAGTTATAAACCTGCAAAGTTCACTGTGTGTACGAGAAAAAACTCTAAAGATTGAAATCTACAGATGCAAACAGATAAAGTGAAATGACTATTATTTCATGTTTTCCTTCCACTAGACCGAGAGAAGACGTGATATAGAAGCCAAACAGACCAAAAGCTATGATGCATAAATCTCAATTTCACAAAACTGACCCTTATGACTGGTTTTGTGCTCCAGGGTCACATTTAGCATGTTTGTGTGGTCTATATGTCAGAGAAGGTCTGGTGTGTTTTCTAAGGTTGTGTTGTTCTGACAGGACCAAGACGCTGTTCGAGGAGATCCGCGCCTCCATCAATAATAGCGCGGCGGGCGAGCGCTCGTTCTGGCGTCCGGTTCTGCCGTGGGGCGGTGTGTTCACCATCAGAGCGGGACGCAAGGCCATCGCCTGCACGCCTCTGTACGTGAAGATCACCCTGAAGAACACCTGCACCATCGACGGCTTCCTCATGCTCCTCTACGTCATCCTGAGAGACAACCACAGCTTCCCCAGAGAGCTGGGTCTGTTCCTGGGCCGGCGCTTCGTCCAGCACTTCCTCCAGCTGATGGACTGCTGCGAGTACACCACCGTCAAGATGCTGTGGATCTGGGACCGCATGTCCAAGCGGCAGTACCGCTCCGAGATCCACCACACGGCGCTGGAGATCGACCTGTTCGGCAACGAGCACGAGAACTTCACCAAGAACCTGGAGAACCTGATGTCCAGCGTGCAGGAGAGCTGCTGCTCCGGCGGGAGCTGCCCGAACCGCTTCCAGAAGCACCTGCGCAGCACCATCAGCGTCAAGTGCGTCTGACGAAAGCTAAAGCATCTTATGTGATCCGTCAGGCTTTTATGACTCATGTACTCTGATACAGTGAGAATAAAGCTCAGTTGTTGCTTGTGATGTAAATCAATGAGATCTTTATAACAGTGCAGCAGATGCTGACATAAAATGATCTAAATATCAGTCGTGGCTCTATATCTCCAGTAATATAAGATGAGATTGAAATGCTCCAAACATATAATGCAGTGATTGAGAGCTGAAGAAATAAAGGCTCCTCAGAAGCCTAATGATCAAATTTGACAGTCATCATTATAAGAAAAAAAATCATAATTATTATATACTAAGGGATAATTTTGAGACGAGTCAAATTTATTAGAAAGTCAAAATTATTGTGTAAAAAATCACAATTATGAGATAAAACAGTATAAATTATGAGATAGAAAGTCATAATTATGAGATTAAAAAGTCAATTATGCAAACTAAGTCATAGTTATGAGATAGTCATAATTATAATATACTAAAAAGTCGTGAAATATACTATAAAACTATATACTATATGACGTAAAAAGTCACAATTATGAGAAAAAACTACAAATTATGAGATAGACAGTCAAAACTATGAGGTCATAATTGAGATAAAAAGTCATAATTTTCATATACCAAGTGATAATTTTGAGAAGATTGAGATAAAGTCAAAATTACAAGATAAAAGTCAATTATGAGATAAAAAGTCAAAATGTATAACAGAAGTCATAATTATGAGATTAAAAAGACAATTATGAGATAAAATGTCAAGGTTATGAAATAATGACTTATGGCATACTAAGTCGTAATTTTGAGATAAAAATTCATAATTATGACTTTATAAAGCAGTCAGAAAAATCCCCTCAAACTAAGCAATAACATCCAATCTGCTGCAGAAGCTGATATTTATATGATGAGATTCTGACGCTTGTAGTGTAAATCAGTGAGAGCTTTATAACAGTACAGCAGATGCTGACATAAAATGATCTAAATATCAGTCGTGGCTCTATATCTCCAGTAATATAAGATGAGATTGAAATGCTCCAAACATATAATGCAGTGATTGAGAGCTGAAGAAATAAAGGCTCCTCAGAAGATGTGAGATGTTCTGGAGGCTTGTGAAGATCATTCCTCCGCTGAGGAACAGTGAAAGTAAAGCTTCTGGAAACAAACGCTCCTCAAAAGATCCTGAGGATCAGATTTGAGACTCTAAAACATGATTGATGGAGAATCAAGTAAAGCTGAGCTGCTTCAGTCCAGTAAGTGTTCATCTGGAGATATTACTGCAGTTATTCTGACGCTTACTTGATCAAAACCAGTCAAGATTTGACTCGTGAAGCTCCAGAATTACACTGAAAGAGCTTCGACTGGATAAAACTCTAAACTCTCAGAGACAGAAGACGTGCAGCAGATTATAAACAGCGATGTGAGAGTGTGTCTGACAGATGTGTGTGAGATGATTCTCATCTGTATCTCTGTGTTTCTCTCAGTCCTCCTCATGAGCTTCCAGATAAGGATCCCATGCAGTCAGCGCTGGACGAGTTCTTCTGCCCGCGGCTGGAGCTGTGTGAAGAGCTGGAGTGAGATGCTTCTCTGTGTTTCTCAGAGGCTGATGGTCTGATCTGATCTTCTCGCTCACGTCTGTGTGTGTGTGTTTCAGCTGTGAGGGTCTGCGAGAGTTCGGTCAGAGGTTCTTCTGTCACGGCCCGCCGCCCTTCATCATCCTCAACATGCAGATGTGGCAGTCGGAGGATCTGTCGTACGTGCCGTATCATCTGGAGCTCTCCGAACAACGGTGCTCTTCAGTTACCCCTCCGTCACAGCTTCTGCATCATTCACTGGAGCCTCGGTTATAAAGACACGTGTCACGTGATCCTGAATGTGATTGCATGACAGTTTCCAAAATGTTCCTACAAATTTAATTTAAGAAATATCCATGCACACACAAGAAAACATTTTTTAAATGCATTTTTACTTTTTAAACTGCAGTTCTATAACTAATTATATATATATATATATATATATATATGTGTCCCTGCAGCACAAAAGCAGTGTTAAGTCGCTGGGACAATATATATACATAGATGGCATTATTTTTATGGGAAATCATATATCTTGAATTAATTCCAGTGATGTAATTATCACAAAGCAGTTGCTCATTTGTGCATATAATAATATTGATGCATATTGTGATTGTCTATTTATCTTTACATTTTAAGTCAATGTTGGATTATTTTAATTAACGGTGTGTAGAATTATCCTAGATGTACAACAATTTCCAAAATGTTCCTATTAACAATTTATGAAATCCCATTTTATAAATAGTTAGTTTGTCTTAAATTGAAGTGCAATGTGAACAAGAGCATTAATTCCACCTACAGACACCAAAAAATATTCCTTTATGGTCCTATATATCATTTTTAATACATTTAATATTTGCATAATTAATATTAAATGTGTGTGTGTGTGTGTGTATATATATATATATATATATGCACATTTTTATTTTTTACAGGAAATCATATTTAATTAATTTCAGTAACAATTATCACAAAGCAATTACTCATTTGCACATGCAATAATATGTAATTATTGTATTACTGGTAGTAGCGCAAAAAAAATAAAATATCCATGCTCTTCAATTGGCATAAGCATAAAAACACATCAGTTTTTGCCTTTAATCCTGGTTTGATCCTCACTGTAGATGTTGGATCAAATCTATGGAGCCCCGCGCATCACATGCAGTCAAAAATATATTTATTGTGGCTACAAATTAAACATTTGTTCCCACATTTGTGGCCACGATTGTTTTTATTTAATTAAAACATGGACACAAGTGCACTAAAATGAGGAAGCAAATTCTTAAATTGTGCAAAACGAGTTTTTCCCCTGCATGTCCTGTGTGTGTCTCTGTACAAATGCACTGGTGTGTGTGTGTGTGTTTTCTAAACGCGTGATCTGATTGCTCAGGTACTCTCTGGAGGGAGCGACGCTCT